TGTGCCACGGTCGAAGACTTCCTGGCCAAAGTGTCTCACGTTATCCACCCTCCATCTGATCCAAACAGCTCGGTTCGATTAAATCCCCGATAGACACCAACGCCGCTAGAGTCCTTGCCGATGCGTTTAACGCGCCTCCACTACACCCCTTGCATGCGCACAAAGGGCGATTGGAGACGCTCGTGGGTCTTCAGTCTTCCATCATCACTTCGTGGTAGATGCACATGGGTCTTGAGTGGCCGTGGTGGTTCGAGCATTCCACCCGTACGACAGCCAAATCCTTCCTGTCCGACTAGTTCTCGTAGCATGTCGTGGTCCCACCAGCGCCATCGACCTGTTGAATGTTGCGAACTTCACAGGCAGCTCTCGGAGCACTTGTCAAAGCTATTTTCAACGTAAGTATCCTATTAACGGTTTTAAGATTCGTCGAAGACATCGGTGGTTGCTACAGCTTTCACAAGCGCTTCGATTTTTCCGACAACTGCCTATGAAGTTCGCAACATTTCAAGTCACTCAAACTCGATGTCGTTGCAAGACATCTCGGTACAGATGAAGATGACATCTACCCCTACGTCGTTTGCGATGGTGTCTCAGTTAATGCAGTCAACACGTATTCTGGAGATGGGGAAGGACTTCGGGTGGCGCTACGACTTCTCGACCTCACTGACGATGGGCGCCTTTGATTATCGAGCTTCGAACAAGAGTGCGTGAGAGCACAGCGGCAAAATTCGAGTACCTATTCCTTGTTGCAACAGGAACTGCTTCCTGTTGCAACAAGGCGGCTCGACGACGATAAGAAGAGCTGCACTACCGAAGAAAGAGGCCGATGCGACCTTTGGACCGATGCATTCTACACCCAATAACACTGCGCGGCCGGTACCTCGTTCTATTACGAATTGGGTGACACTGACGGTGGAGGCTGGCAGGAGGCAATCTTGGGCCTCCCTGACAAGAGCTGCCGAATGATGGTGCGATTATGCTGGGATTTAGTATATTTTGCTGTTGAAAGTCAGTGCCCGGGGGACGCTAATGCGATATGGTCTCTACGAATCGTGACACTTCAAACCCTTCCAATCCCAACAGCGAGTGGCACTTTCGACGAAGCAATGCCCCTAAGCAACCTGCTGTCGAAGTCGAATTCGAACATGCGTCGCATCTTGTCAATCTCTGCGCATCAAGCTCTCCCTGATGGAGCTAACCCAGTCGCAACCTGCGCACCGTCCTAGATCAAGTCTTCAATTTCATTTGGAGAATGAAATAGTTTTATCTTCTCCTGCTTCCGAGATAAGACTGTCTTCCATGCACGGCCACGCTGTTCCGAATTCTCAACATCCTCACAATCAATGAGACAGCTCGACCGAATGGGGGATGTACCGGCACATCATGCTACTAGTGACAGCTCTATGCTTTTCCATGTGCTCGCTCTCCTTGTCAGTACAGACGACGCCGCCCATGACACTGTTCCACGGCACGTTAGCATGCCAGCGCTGCGCGAACGAACCCTCCCAATGCGTCTGCGTATTCAAGAGCCTTCCAGGCAAAATATTATGGTCCATGGCGCAGCAGCGGCATTAAACAAGCGTGTTCCTTCCCTCCTGCAGCACGTTGTGTGATTTCGATCAACGCAGCGTGGTGCGGATGCGACGCCGACCCGACTCCCACCTCCAAGCCGTCGTCTGAAACACCTTTCTGGGTGTACAATTTACACTGTATCGGGGTCATTGGGTGTCATCTGGCGCTCTGCTGCGGCATGGTGTACGAAGCTGAGCCTCTCTATGCCCCACCGGTCGGCGTTGCGTACGCTTCCCAACCGCCAGCAGTCGTCCAAGAGCCACATGGTGGCGGCGGCCGGTGTCGCCATTTGTGCCACGGCAGTGATTGTCGGTGGTGCCCTCATCGGTGAAGCTGTCGCCGATGGCCATGAAACTATGGCGGCTGCTGCGGTGGAGGTTGTGGTGCGCACTATGATCACACGCGTAACATTCTTTGATCCCACTCAGGTGTGTGCGCGCTTCCAACGCGCCTCGGCCGCTTCCTGCCTTCACTCACTGTCTATAGTTCCCATCAAGACAAGTGCAAGATGCCACTTCATGCAGTTTGCTTTCAGCGGATCGGAAGGAGTCACTTACGCGTGCCATGGACTTGAGGCGTCTCAGGTCGATGGCGCTGATGGGACCACGACATGCTACGAGAACTAGTCGGACAGGAAGGATTTGTCCGTCGTACGGGTGGAATGCTCGAACCACCACGGCCACTCAAGACCCATGTGCATCTACCACGATGTGATGATGGAAGACTGAAGACACACGAGCGTCTCCAATCGTCCTTTGTGCGCATGCATGGGGTGTAGTGGAGGCGCGTTAAACGCATCGGCAAGGACTCTAGCGGTGTTGGTGTCTATCGGGGATTTAATCGAACCGAGCTGTTTGGATCAGATGGAGGGTGGATAACGTGAGACACTTTGGCCAGGAAGTCTTCGACCGTGGCACAATTGGGTGGCCATTTCC